GTGGGCGTTTCGATTATATGACAGAGATAACAGTGGAAACATTACTAGAGACGAGATGGATGATATTTTTCACAAATTATGCATGTAAGTAACATAAATATGATTTGCGCAAATTTTAATGGGACGTAAGGACTGGTCAGAAAATGGGTTAGTAAATAAACAGAAATTAGAAAATATGGCAGTTTTCTTGGCGTTTCGATTTGTTTACAATCTTTGTTTAAAATCTTTGTTTACAATCTTCATTTATAATCTTTGTGTATACTCTTTGTTTATAATTTTTGTTCACAATCTTTGTGTAGAATCTTTGTTTACAACTTTTGTTTACAATTTTTGTTTACAGTTTTTTTTACACTCTTTGTTTACAATCTTTGTTTACAATCTTTCTTTACAATCTTAGTTTACAATAAATTTCTGTTTACAATCTTTGTTTACAATGAATTTGTTTACAATAAATTTCTGTTAACAATCTTTGTTTACAATCTGCGTTATTGGAGTTGACTACAGGAAATGAAGAAAAATATAAAAAATAATAAGAAACAGTTAAAATAATCTTAATCTTATTTTAGGGAAACAAAGGGTAATATTTGTTTCCCTAAAATAAGATTAAGATTATTTTAACTGTTTCTTATTATTTTTTATATTTTTCTTCATTTCCTGTAGTCAACTCCAATAACGCAGATTGTAAACAAAGATTGTTAACAGAAATTTATTGTAAACAAATTCATTGTAAACAAAGATTGTAAACAGAAATTTATTGTAAACTAAGATTGTAAAGAAAGATTGTAAACAAAGATTGTAAACAAAGAGTGTAAAAAAAACTGTAAACAAAAATTGTAAACAAAAGTTGTAAACAAAGATTCTACACAAAGATTGTGAACAAAAATTATAAACAAAGAGTATACACAAAGATTATAAATGAAGATTGTAAACAAAGATTTTAAACAAAGATTGTAAACAAATCGAAACGCCAAGAAAACTGCCATATTTTCTAATTTCTGTTTATTTACTAACCCATTTTCTGACCAGTCCTTACGTCCCATTAAAATTTGCGCAAATCATATTTATGTTACTTACATGCATAATTTGTGAAAAATATCATCCATCTCGTCTCTAGTAATGTTTCCACTGTTATCTCTGTCATATAATCGAAACGCCCACTTTAGCTTCTCTTCCACTAAAGATCAAGATATTTTACAGTGTTCCAACAAAAATACATGGGAAAACTACGTGGGGAAAAAACATGATTTTTCAAATCCTCATGGATATTTTATTCNGACATTGATCAATTGATTGCTAGTGTCCGTATTTACACCGATAGTTAACGAGATCGCACCCAGTGGTAGTGGCGTTGATAGTTCACTGGATTGTAGCTGTGTTGATTATGTACTGTTTGATATTCATAGCGGAGGGATTGTACCTGGACTGGTACTGTTTCGGACGGAGTTTTTAGAGTACGGCATTTACTACAAACATGCCCCATTTCAGAGACTACTTAAAAGGGATCTCTGATCTTTGAAATAATTTGCAGCATTCAATTTTCAACCGAATTTCTGTTTGATTTCTCAACATTAATAATTCAGAAATTTCTAAAATGTGATCTGCCTTTTCTGTTCTTTCAAAGTTTCTGGAGATAAATATTAGTTTCGTTTGGATTTCAGTTTAATAAAAAATCTGTTAACGTCAAATTTCTGAAACGTCTCTTATTTTTCATGTTTTGTGGGACACCCTGTATATTGAAAAAATTATTTTTGGATATGGAGCAAAGATCAAAGACGATATGTAAGCCGTATCTTATTTGTCATGTTTTTTGGAACACCCTGTATATTGAAATAATTGTGTTTAGAAGAAGGGCTCTAGATCTGTTTGAAGCACTTGATGATGATAATAGTGGAACAATCGATTCAGATGAGTTTATAGAAGGTTAGAAACAATGTAAGGGACAGTTTCCACAATTTCAAGGGGCTCCCCGTACACGGATGACAATGTCCGATTTACAACGGTACCCATGAAAACTTTGTGTGATCAAATACGAATAAGATATCCAGGTTCTTGTAAAAACTGTTGATTTTTATTTGTGGTTTCTCTGCAAAAGTGACGAGCGTATCACTTGCCTATACGTAAAAAGGAGACAAGATCAGAATCACTTTTCGACTTGTAAAAACGACGAAATTTTTACAAAGTTCCAAGAGTACCGCTCTGTAAAGCAGGCATTGCAATCCTTGCACTGAGGGTGACTTGAAATAATGCTTACAACCCCTTTTCTACTTTTCATTTTTATTATCCTTTTGTACCCATATAGCTAGATATTCCTAGAGGATTTTCATATGTTTCTCAACAAATTATTGAGCTAATTATGAGGATCGTATACAAAGTTATTAACAAAGAAGGGTATTTTTGGGCTAATATTTCAGATTAAAGTTTTTTTTTTAATCCAAAAACAATGCGTTGGAAAAGGTTTAAAGAATATCTTTGTGTATCGATGATGAAACTTTGACAATAATATAATTTTGATCATTTGTTACTTTTAACCTGTAGAATATATCAGAAAAAAAGGGACTTTAATATTTTAATATCTTGTGAAATTGCTAAATTTCTTTGCATTTTTATAACTTTTTTCGACAGAGATTTATTTTATTAATTTTTATTCTGTCCCATATGTTTGAGATGCGAGTGATATATTCAATATTTGGGGTCAATAAATATTCAATACTTGGGGTCAATAAATATTCAATATTTGGGGTCAATAAATATTCAATATTTAGGGTCAATAAATATACAATATTTGGGGTCAATAAATATTCAATATTTAGGGTCAATAAATATTCAATATTTAGGGTCAATAAATATTCAATTTTTGGGGTCAATAAATAATCAATATTTGGGGTTAATAAATAATTTTTTCATTATTTTTAATTATCATTTTTAAGGCTGTATGAGAGACACTGAGTTCGTAGAAGTTCTGAGCACTTTTGATGGCAGTGCTATATTCGATGTAAAATAATCACATCTTATTTATGAAGCAGAATTATGAAATGTGTTCGTATAATGTGTATCTATGTGTATTTATGAAGCAGAATTATGAAATGCGTTTGTGTAATGTGTATCTATGAGTATTTATGAAGCAGAATTATGAAATGTGTTTGTGTAGTGTGTATCTATGTGTATTTATGAAGCAGAATTATGAAATGTGTTTGTGTAATGTGTATCTATGTGTATTTATGAAACAGAATTATGAAATGTGTTTGTGTAATGTGTATCTAAGTTACACAATTAAAACAAATGAAAGTAATATTTTCCTCAAAATTAAATTTTTTATTCCTAACTTTTGAAATGGCATAAATAATTCAAATGGATTAATTTGAGCAAAACGTGTTCTACTCAAATACTTCCTAGGAGGCATTGCAGTTAGCACTGACTATTTTACTGATCAAAAGTTTAAACGGTTTTTTTATTTATTCAGATTT